TAGCAGAGGCCAGGAAAAATATAGAGGATAGAAAATGCACTATCTGAGTTTAAGAGTAATGTTACTATGTTGACCGAAAAAAATAATAATGATCAAATATCCAGACCAATGTGGAAAATGATTGAAAAAATGGCAAAACGAATCTGATCATCAGGCTCAAAAATTGAAGGATTCAACTGAAACTATTAAATCTTAGAGTAATGCATTACTGAAGGCACAAGATGGTATTTCTATCCTCGAAGATGCAAATAAAATTTCTAAGGAAGAGCTATTATCACTCAAGTTAACTTCATGCCTTGATGAGTTAGCTGGCAAGAGGCACAGCTTTCAAAATGAGCCTGTTGAGATCATTGAATTCCTCAATGATTTACAAGCGCTTATAAAAGAGGATACTCTGTTTCCTAGAGTGAAACAAAGTCTAGAGAAGAAATTTGAGAGCCTGAAGACCATGGATCTCCTTCTTGACAATATAGGGGACCACATATATGACATGACTGGCATGAAAAATAGAAGGCGACTTACTCTAGAGGTAATAGTGACTTTCTTCTTTTCGCTGTTATTTCTTCTTGTTTCCGTCAATTAATAATCTTTTGACTTGCACATATATGCATCTGGAGGCACTCATGTTACATTAAAATTCTTATGTTTTCTTCATTTATTTTAGATTCTCTCCAACAGCTTCTTATTATTAAGTGTATGCCATTTTGTTTTTATCCCAGGAAGATCTGCTTGCGACAAAATATTTGTCCAATGACCTTCAAAAGTTTGGTGTCAAATTAGACAACAGTGAGAAAATGATGCTGATATTGATGGTATAATTTCGTTATCTGCAGAGATAGTAAAGGGTTTCAGTTGAGACAAACTCACGGTTGATAAGTTTGATGATTTCTCTGCTTGTATTGACGAGTTAGCCTCTCTTCTTTTGGCAAAACTACAAGAACTAAAGACTGATATTGAAACTACTTCTACGTACATGGAAACTCTGAAAGCAAGAACAAATACCACGGAACTATTAAGAGATAATAAGCAGGAAAAACTATTGCCACTTTAGAGAATGATATGTCAATTTTGCTGTCTGCATGCACTGATTCAACCAGAGAACTTCAAATGGAAATTGAAAGGCGTGTTATGGAATCAGACTCCAATTTTGTGGCAGGAAATTTTAACAATGAAACCGTTGTACAAGCAAACAGTCAGCGGAATAACAAATATATGGAAACAGCACAAAAGTTGATAAATGCTACTACAAAAACTCAAACTTTTATCAAACAACTTGAACTTAGAAGGAAGGAGGTAGCTGCAACAGTAGAAGATCTGCAAAGCGAGTTGAATGAGGCAAGAGCTGCTCTGGAAACGGTCATTAACGAAAGAGACCATAATAAAAGTAGATTTGTGCAACTAGAGTCTGATATACAAACAATACAAAGTTCATGCAGAGGACTTAGAAATGACCTAGAGGATTATCATGCCTTACAAGAAAAGTTTAGAGAAAAAGAGGCAGAAATTTCATCATTGTACAGTACTTTATCAACAAAGGAACAAGGTAAATGTTGGAATCTTTCTTGACCTTAATATCGTTTTTTTTTCCCCAATAACATGTATATGACATGATGTCTTTTCTTTTTAAGAGAACGAGAGATCTCTGTTTTCCACATCTGAGGCTACAGCCCTTTCTGACAAAATAGATAAGATTGAAATACCTATCATGGAGTCAGGAGAAGATGATATGGAGCGACATACTTCAACCACGGTAAAGAAGCTTTTTCACATCATTGATTTTGTTACTAGGTTGCGGCAACACGTGAACTCTTTGTCTCATGACAAAGAGGAGCTGCAATTAACCCTTGACAACAAGGTCCTTGAAGTTAAGCGTCTGAATGAGGAAGTCAACCAACTTGACAGAAATTGTGAAGATTCCAAAAATGGGAAGGATGATGACTCTGAGATTTCCTTTTCTTTGGAGAAAATATTAGATATGTTGGGAGCCAGTGATTGGAACGGAGACAAAAAATCTGCGGGTGCAAAGGGACTAATAACAGTACTAGAAAAGCAGGTCATGACTATTCTTCTAGGATCAGAAAAATCAAAGTCTAGAGACCAGGAACTGAGTACTAAGTTGCTTGGTGACCAGAAGGTCATTGATGAATTGACAGCCAAAGTCAAGTTACTTGAACACTCAATCCAAAATAGGACTTCTCAGCCTGAATTTCATCAAGAAAGGAGCATATTTGAAGTAGCCGCATCACCTGTTGCATCTGAGATATCTGAAGTTGAAGAGGTGGCTACGTTATTCTTTAAGCATAACATTCTTTGTTGATGCAATTAATGTTTAAATTTAATTTATGCTTTATACGCATGTCAGCAGAGTCCATTCGCAAATAGTAAGGTTTTCATAACTAGATTATATTATATATTACCACCATCTAGGTTTGACTCCAATGTCAACTTGAAAAATTGCGAATTACGCTTGTTAATTATATTCTTACAAATCAATATACCATGTTAGCGCATTGTCTATATCTGTTATGCTTTGTGCCTCTTCTTTATTTAACTGATATCCTTTATTTGATTAACTTTGACTGCTTATCGCATCCACTTAAGTTGTTTGGGAAGCAATACAATGCCTGATGCTACAAATGAAAATATTTTTTGATTGCATTTGAAACCTATTGCATAGAACACAGTTCTTAATAACATCATACCTATGGAAAGCTCTTATACATCAGACTAAGGATAAAGGATATTTAATTAAATTCACATTAATTGAAATTTTCGTCCGATTTTCTTGTATATCAAATTGGTTTCTATGTTGTTTGAATATGCATAACTTTCGTCTTTGGGGTAGTTGGTGATAGAATCATCTCATGTATAAGTATTTGACACCCCATATATTATAGGTGGTTTGGAAAAAGTTAATCCAAGAAATTATGTTTGTAAGGATTTTGTTTCCTTACAGGGGTCACTTGGAAAGAAAGCAACATCTTCTGTCCTACAAGCTGTTCATATGCTAAATATGCGAAAAGGATCTACAGACCATCTTCTACTTGATATTGATTCAGAACCCAGTAGTTTAATCAACAAATCTGATATTGATGATAAAGGTAATCATGAGATTTCAGTTACTCCCAAATGCTACAACAAAAATTGCAAGACTTAACTCTAGATTGCTGTAAAAGCCATCAATTCAAGTCTCTGAATAAAACTGGATTTGTACCCAAACGAGGAAAGTTAATTGCAGATCGTTTTGATGGAATCTGGTAAATGTTGGTTCAAATGTTTGTCTCATGAACTGTAGGTTCTCTAAATTCATGAGTCGTGAAACTTAGGAAGCATATATAAAAACTATGGTGGCCGGGCTCTCACGAGTCGTTCCAGAGCAAGGTTAGGAGTTATTGGTTATCTGCTCATCTTGCATTTATGGCTATTGGGAACGATCTTGCAGAGGGAATTGTCATAGTCGTCGTCGTCGTCAACATCCCTCTGAACAGTGCAACTAAGCAGTGCCATTTCAATTCTCATTTGCAAATCGTGAATGCTATGAAACATGAAGATCCTAATTTTATTGTATTTTTGTATAGTCAGTATCCTGTTTTGCTGTCTGCATTGGCATTTTAGGGGTTCAAAGAATGCACTTTTCAATGTCTGGGGATATCTTTTATATTAGTTTAATTCATGATAGAAGATGTGGGATACGGATTGGAATTGTAATTGAGGAAAATCATTAAAACAGTAATTAATATGAGTAATTACTTGTTATACAGGATTAAACAAACTCATGGAAGTAGGACCCCAATTCCACATATACTCCTCCGGTCCTTATTATAAGACCCAATTTGACTTTTTATTTGGTCCTAATTATAAGACCCAATCCATTTTCTCTCTTATATTTATGCATTTTTTTCCAAGATAATCCTTCTAATAATGATAGTTTTAGCCAATATACTTAATTAGCAAGGATATTTTAGGAATAACAACACTTATTTATTATAAATAACCAACTTAACTTACTTCCTTAATCTCCTCAAATAAGTCAATTGGGTCTTATAATTAGGACCGGAGGAGTATATGTTTGTTTGATTACATATAACAAGCAATTTTTCATATTAAACACTTATTTAGTAAATTTTTTCAATCTCAATCTCAATCCCTAATTCCCTACCTCATATTTTTAATACTTGGTACGGGACCTTTGGGTTTATCTTGGTATTGTATGATTAAAGTAGTTTTGTTTTCGTGGATATTACAATGCTCCAAACCCTGTATTTAAAAGAATAGGAAATGAATATGCAAATAACTGCTTTTTGGTGAAGTATTTGGTTTCAAACTACCACTTCATTAATGCACCAGTAGACAGTAGCGTAACAGCAATCCTTTGTTGTTTATCTATCCTTGAATTGAATGAGAGCCATAAATAAATAAAAGAAAAGGGCCCTCAAGCTATATACAATCATCAATGCACGTTGGCAAAAAGAAGGAAAAACAATCAATGCAAACAGAATTTATTGACTAATTGTGATTTTTTTACAACAACCCTATTTTGATTCCTCTTAAACATTCATTTATGGAGCATACGTACAAGAATTACCTGAAAACTGATAAAAATTAAAGATAATTATTTTTACCTTGAAAATAGAAATTAGTACTTTTAACAGAATAATCTGGGGGTGGGTAAATGTCATAAAAATTAAACATAATTATTAAATTGGAGGAGACAACTATTCAAGCATATTGATAGTTGTCAAATTCATATAATTATTAAAATATGATTACTACACATTAAATGAACTATTAAGCTACAATGTGCTCTATCACTCTAAACTAGAATGATTATTATTCGGATGTATTTTATACTATTAACTTGTAAATTATCTGGGCGTTTTCAAGACGCTAACTTCTGCAATGCCACACAATAAATGATATATTACAATTATTAAAATGTATTAAAAATAAAAATTTTAAAAAATTAATAAAAACATATACAAATTACACAAACCAAGACAAAATATGTCTATTAAATCTTATTACTCCTCCGGTCCTAAATATAAGACCCTTATACACACTAGTATAAGGGTCTTACATTTAGAACTGGAGGAATAATATTTATAAGTCATTAATTTTATACAAAAGTACCTACTAGTTGTTACTCCTCTGGTCAAATAGGATTAGAGAGAGAATGTTTTCTTTGTCATATTTATTAGTTATTCCATTATATTTTAATGTAAATATACTATTTTATCTTTCATTTATTATGGTGTAGCTAGTTATTTTTTTAAAAAAGTGTATATATTAAATAGAGAAAAAGTTGAAAAGTTATTATATTTTAATGGAAAGTTAATACATTTTATGGTTTTTCTTAGTCAGGATAAAATATGCTGGAAGTGCCTTATAAATAAGATTATAAGAGTATTTAATAATAACATATACATTGGTAGAACAAATCTAATATATTTAAAATAACAGAATGCACAGATAATTACAAGTTCTAGATAACTTAAATTTACACAAGATTGACATATATGTTTAGAAAATGAGTTGTTATTTTTTTCACAAAATTCTTTTGTACGTGTGTGCACATATGCAACACACACAAAAACTCTATGGTCCTGTTTAGTATTAATTATTAAAAATAATGGGTAGGAATTGTGACTGAAATTTAAAAAAAAAATACGAAAAGAATGTTTAGTACGAGTGATTGCTTGTTATTTGAGGTTAGGTAAATTCATATATATGGTATTGAGATATACAATTGGAGGAGGTGGCTGATAAATGTTGGTTGATTGTGTATTTTATTATAGTGCTATGATTCAAAGTATCATTTCCAATTGACCAATTTTCGCTCCATCCCTGTAAGGGCAGAGAACCCATCGCTGTCTCGGCCGTGCTACTGGAGGTTTTGGGGAAGTCAGAATAGGGGAGCACTCATCTTGAGGTGGGCTTACTACTTAGATGGTATTTTCTAATCCCACCTACATGGGATTGTCTAATCCTAGGTAACAAGAAAATTACTCATACTACCTCCATTTCTAATTATAAAACCTCGTTTGTTTCTTATAATTAGGACTAAAAGTAGTATTCTTTAATGATTTTTCTCAGTTTCAACTCTAATTTTTGTCCTTTATATTTAATGTTTTATACCAAACAGGACCAATATTATCATCTTTCACGCTCACTTGAGTAGGGAAATATAGTTGTGGAAACAATGTGAAGAAGCTATAAAAGGCAAAATGTGACTAATTTTTGTAACTGAAGTGGTGGGATTTGTTGATGACGTTATAAAAGACGCAAGGTGCTCCTGCTTTGTATAAGATCTACATAGATTCCCCTAAATAGATCAAACGAGTTGGCCCCAAACAACCAAAACTTTGTTTATAAATTATAAACCTCTCAATAATCTCTCATCCATCAGATTCTGAGCTTTTCCCAAAACCAAAAATCCCAAAGGGAAAAAAACACATTTTAATTGAGAAGAAAATTCTCATCCATCCATAAAGCCTGCCAATTAATTCCCCCCTTGTTTCCTTCTTATTATTTCTTGTGTTTCTGTTATTTCAATCACATCCTTTTCCTCCTTCGCCTTCATTTCAATGTCTTCGGTAAGATTGATAGATCTCTCCCAATTGTTTGGATTTGGATTTTGGAGGTTGTTCTTGTGAATAATTTTTGATGAATGTGTTTGTTTGATTTGTGTGCCAGCAAGAGCAAGGAAGGCCTTTACCAAAGTTTGGGGAATGGGATGTGAATGATCCAGCTTCTGCAGAAGGATTCACTGTCATCTTCAACAAAGCTAGAGATGAGAAGAAAACCGGTGGAGCTTCCGGCCGCCATTCCTCAAGCCGAAGAATTGATTCTCAAAAAGATGATAAAAAGAAACAATCACCAAATTCCAATTCTAAGGTTAATACTCTTCTATTCAATTAATCTTCGTTGTTTCCTTCATTTATTTATCGAAAATCTTGCTCTTAGGTGTCCATAGTTGGGCCAGACTTCCCTTATTTCCGGACTGATTCGACCTGGCCTGGTCTCATTTAATTCGTTTTTCTTTAAAATTGATTCACAATGAAGAATTGATTCTCATGGAGATAATGATGGGGAAAAAAACCACCCAGCCGATTTCAAGGTTAATACTTATTCAATTAATGTTCATTCTTTCATTCATTTATCAAAAGGAGCATAGAATCCATGTAAAGGAAATAGCTATCAAAAAGTCCTAATGATAAGTAAGTTATCATTTTTTATTATAAAACTTATCATTATAAACTGTTTTGTCATTATAACAATTATGTTTTTTTAGGAATTAATTGCAATTCTCCTTTTATCAAAAATCTTGTTTCTAGGAGTTCGTCATAGTTAGGCTAGACTTTCCCTATTTTTGAACTGGTTGACCTTGCCTAGTAACATTGATCTCACCTGGCTTGAAATAATTGGGTCACAGCAAAGAATTGATTCTCATAGAGATAATGACAAAAAGAAACAATATAATTACCCAATTAAGACTCCAAGGTTATATAATGCTTTCATTTATTCTCCAATCATATTCATCGAAATCCTATTGCTGCTTAATCATCACAGTGTCCATCTCAATATCTGGCTAGTTCGACCTAACTTAGTTTCATTTTATTTATTTTTTGACTTTACTTAGCTCGAAATGACTGGGACATGTTAAACTAATAGGGCTATCAGACCATTTTAGCCCTTATTATCTAACCTAGTCTTCCAAATATTAAAAGCTTGATCAATTGATTGTATTAATCATTGTAAAGTTTATGTGAGATTGATAATGATGATGATTTGTTTGTGATGTTTAATGCAGAAAAAGTGGTTTTGCTTTGGCCCTTGAGAGGGAGAAGCTTCTTATTGTTGTGCATTTATTGTAACTGTTCATGTGATTTGAGGCGTCCAAAGTGAATCGCGGGCTGAAGAAAATAGTTTTGAGGATTTGTATGCAGCTTCTGCTTCCTCTTGATGATTTGATTTTTTCTTTACACCGATGAAAAAGTAATGTAAATAGGCATATTTATCTTTTGTATTTTATTATTATTTTTTAAAAATATAAAAAGCCCTATTTTGTTTGAATCACCATTCGATCGGATTGTAATATTAAAATTAAAAGGTGCCTCTTTATGTCTCTTCAATTCATAAAGCCAGCATATCTAAACAACCTTGGTTCTCCAATGGGGCCTATTTAATATTGTATGATTTTTGTCCTTCTATTTTGATTTTAATACTTTATATCGACACTGTGCCCTTATGCTATTACAAAAATTAACCCAGAGGTATTTGCAATTTTATGTTTTTTTTTGGCAATAATTGTTTGTAAATACAAAATGAGTAAATCTGAAAATTTTTGTGCCAACAATTAAATTGTTTTATAGCATATAGTAATGTTTAGACTTACATATGCTTTTACTTCTTAATTAAACACGTCTTATATACCTATCACATAAAATTTGGGAAATAAATTAGGTTATTTATGATTTATGAGTAATAACGTGATTTATTATAATATTGATGTTCATACATGCTTTTATTTTAATTTGATGCTGACAAATTTAAAATTAAATAATGTTAATTTCTTAGTTCTTAGTTAAAATTACATAAAATTTTCTTAACATTTGAGTCACATGAAGATAATTAATTTATGATGTTTAAAACTTAATAACGAATTTTTTTGGATTTTAAATTTAGGCTAAAATCTACAAAATTTCCCGCTGCATATAACTGTACGATGTTTAAATTGGACTTCATTGATGTTTTAATTTTTTAGATTAAATCTCACACCATTTTTGTTGGTAAGGTACTGACCGAGATTGTCAAGTCAGATCAATAAGAAAAACGCGGCATTTAACATGAATTAAAATTTTGAAGTTATAATAAATAAAAAGTTAATATGCAAATTTGTTTTGGAAAAAGCACTTGCCCTATAAATTCTTTGGGGTTTAAGGTCGTCTTGGAAGTAATAAAGTGGAATAATATTATCCCTTACTATTAAAAATGTTACTCCTCCGGTCTTTAATATAAGACTTATTTAACTAATTTGATTAGATTAAGAAAGTTAGGTAAGTTAGTTAATTATAAGAAATGTAACAAAATTTTCTTAAAATACCACAATCATCTTTCTTAATGCCTCATCGCCTTCTTTTACTTGATTATGGTTGAGAGAATATCTATAAGGGTAATTTAGAAAAAATTGATAAATATGATAAATGAGTCTTATATTTAGAACCAAAACTAACTCAAGAATTAGGTCATATATTAAGGATTGGAGGAGTAATAGCCAATATCAATATTTCAAATTTCAATAGTTAATGTGAGTTTTTTGACGGGTGAGTGCTATGTTTTGAAATTTTTGGATCAACATCAATTCTAAGTAAAAATTTTTGAAACAAATTTATACCTTAATTCATATATAAAACTCTTTGAACTTTCGGCTAGTTGCATATCACTCTGAACATTTCAAAATTTGAATTTAACCTCCTTAAAGTTTTAATTTTTTAAAATTAAATTCCTACTGTTATTTTTTAACATTAAACTACCAACTCTGTTAAGTTAATTTTACAAAAACGCTTTTCAAATTGAAATTTATGTTAAAATAAATTTTATCTATAATTTACCCTTCATTATACTAAGTTGCTAATTTTGGCTAAAATTGTTTTGAAAAGTTTAAGAGTTTTTTTTCTTTTTGTTAATTTTTTTATTTTTGCAAATAATTATTTATTTAATGCTTTTATCATATTAGTGCAGAAACTTAAGAAATTATTTAACGTATACATAAGAAATTGATTGAACATTTGATAAATTCTTTAAATAAATATAAAATTGACTAAATATTTGTTTTTCATGTTTGTAACACGTTTTTAAATTAATTTAAATTATAAATCTAACTTATTTATATAATCTCCCAATTTAACATCATTTATATTATATGATAAAAAAATATGTGTTTGAAATATTTTTAGCCAGTTTGTAATTAATTTTTCATCACATTATTTTGACAAATATAGGAGTTTCAAACATATTAGACATTTTGAAAGTATATGTTTTAAAATATTTTTTAGCTATATAAAATTTATTTAACACGAGAACCTGTAGGTAAGCTAACTTTGACAGGAGAAATTGAATGGTAAGAAAATAGAGCTAAAGAACTATAAATGTGATCAGTGGCAACTGAATCAATGATCCAAGTAACAAGAGTAGTGGTAGAAACAAAATTACATTTACCTGAAAATGATAGAGAAGAGGAGGTGATGTGATTAATTGAAGAAGATGTTTGAGGCGAGGAAAGAATAGTAATTAAGGAGGCGTTGATATTGTTTAGACGAAAGTTGAGGACGAACCAAAATGGTGGAAACAATTGTTGGTGGAGGAGTGGGGAGCAGGGGAGGCTTTGTAGTAGAATTTGCTTGAACAATACCAGAGTTTGGAACTAAAAGTTATTCACCGCAGCAAAAGTCTGAAATTTAAAGCCAGGAGGAAATCCATGTTTCCTATAACAAGTCTCTTCAGTGTGTTGAGGTTTCCCACAGTATGAACACTGTTTAGGCGGACCAATGTGTGCTTTGGTAGAGCGAGGTGGACCCTTGGCCAATAAAACTATAGGAATAGAAGGAACAGAGAGATGAAGTTCCCATTCTTGTTGTAGAACAAGAGAGAAAACGCGGTTAATCGGTAGAAGCGGATCAAGAAGCATGATCTGAGACTTTATAGAGGTGTACTGCTCATTCAATCCTCTCAAGAACCGAATCACATTGTCCTTTTCTATATGAGCTTGGTCACTATCGATTGATCCACAAGAACATGCTTTAATCGGATGAATGTTTGAAAGTTCATCCTAGAGAATTTTCAATTGAGTATAATATTCACTACAGTCAAAGAACCTTGTCGCAAACTATAAATTTCTTCCTGAATTTTAGCAATGCGGAAGATATCGGATTGGGAATACCTCCAAATCTCTGAAGCACTATCAAGCCAGAGAATACTCTTTGAGATTGTTGGAGTAAGAGACTTGGTCAGCCAGCCTTACACAAGATTGTTACACCACTCCCATGCCGAAAAAAGTTTGTTGACGGATAAGGGACAACAAAGAGTACCATCGGCGAACTTGAGCTTATTTTTCGATAACAGGGCCATTCGCATGGCACGAGACCAACCATGGTAGTTTGATCCGTCGAGAGGGGGAGAGACAAGAACAAGAGTAGGATTCTCGTTGGGGTGAATATAATATCGACTGGATTGATCAATAGACAATTTGGAGGATGCAGAAGATGCCATGGGAGGAGCTTAGAAAGTATCAAAGAGAGAGGGAAAAGGGGGGAGTGGAGAAAATGAGGACCTGAAGAGTAAAGTGAAGAGAGAGAAAAAATTGTGGAAAAATCAAAAGGCTCTGGATACCATGTGACTTGATGTGGAAAAATGATAAGCTAATTTTCATTAATGAAGAAAAGGGTATATATATACCCGAGAGTCCAGTGAAATACATAACAGAATGCTTAGCTGAAATACATTGAGAAATAACTTAACAGAAGTTACACTATACTTGACAGAGGTGAAAGTTACCCGATGGCCGTAAGATTTTAAACTTCATATCAAAGCTTTTGCCTTATCAGTTTTATGTCAGTTCAACACCCCTCCCCGCAAAACGAGGAAAAATAAAAAATAAAAAATCCATGTCAGGTTATAATCAATATGTTTATTATGCCATATGCATATGGACTCACAATTTGAGCAAATTTATTGTTTTTGATGTGCAGAGTTTAGTTTGACACATGTGGATGAGGTTATTGATTCGCACTTGACTAAAGATTACTCCTGTGACATTGCTTTGCCTCGAATTAAGAAAAGGTTTCTTTCTTTAACTGCTTAAATTAAACTTTCTATCTAGAACTTGTTGTGACAATTCTTTATGTTCTACTTATAGTTTTTGTGTTGCATTTTCATGGTGAAGGCCTCTCCTTTTAATAGTTTTATGGGGTAGCTGGTAAAGTAATTGTTCCATGTAAAATTTGCTTTTCCTACATGATTATCTATTGCTAAATTTGTAAAACTTGTTTTGTAAACCTTTGAAAATCTGTTCTTGTCAAACTAAGGCAACTTTGTAAATTTTGTGGCTTTGTTATTTTTAATACTACATTCGGTCTTTAATATAAGATATAGTTGACTAATTTGGGGAGATTAAGAAAGTTAGTTAAGTTAGTTATTTGTCGTAAATAGTTATTGTCTTCCCTAAAATATTCTTATTAATTATGTGTGTTGGAATTAGCTATTGATAATAACTCCTTAACATATGTAACTACGTGCCTGTTTGGGTATCATCCCAAACCATAGTTTGGGGAAAGAGATTGCTGAACACTAGGAAAAAAAGCCAAAACCATAGTTTTGGCCTAGAAACCATGATTTCTATAGAAGCAGATAATTTTCGCTTCTGGAACAAAAAGGAAGAGTGTCAGAGCCTCTAGCCATCCGTGTTCTAACTTTCTTAACATTTTGGATCCCCTGATACACATTGCTTTCAGTCATTGCAAAAGAAAAAATGACAATTTTAGTTACTTTTTAAAAATTCAAGGTCATTAATTAACATCTTTAAATTGATCAATGAAAGCCATCAATGAGCCTTCCCCATTGATAACCAAAACAGGAGGTGGGTGACACTCTCCCAAGTATTAAAATTAATTGTTAAAATTAATTAAAAATAATAAATATATAAGAGATGTAATTCTGTTTTTAAATACATCAACGGGGAGGAACCTTTTTTTTCCCCACCCCAAGCCATATTTTTTAGGAACTTTGTACTCCCCCTTGTTTCTTTGTTTTTTTTTTTCCACACACGCCATACTTATTAAA